CTGGGCAGAGAGGCAAGATATACAAGGATTAAAAAATTCAACAGTGGTTAAAAAAAAATCCCTCCTTGATTTGATGTATTCCATAAATAGTTGGTTAAATTATGAAACATAAGTACTTGAACTTATCAGTGAGTATTAATAAAAAAAAATATGGCTTGTTTATTAACAGTATGATAGAATAAAAAAATTCCCTATGATTCTTTGTTTGTTTAGTTGAAAAAAATAAGGAAGGTCAGATAAAAGTCTTGTTTTGCATAGAGGGGTGATTTACCCACTCTTACCTCATGTTCTGGTTTGTTCTAAGTGTCATGGAGAACTTCTTGTGTCCAAGTGTGGGAAAAATGACTAATATGCATCAGATATTGTGAAATTTCATACATGCAGTTATTTTTTTTACTGTCCCCTGTGAACCTGAGGAACGAAACTGTGCAGGTGTATCCTTGTGGATCTTTCTTTGTATACGTGCACAGTGTGTTTTCCTTATACATGTTCAATGTATGAAGTCGTCTTTGTTTACCCTGTAATTGGCTGTAAGCGATGTTTTTCCCAGTATGACCATGTGTCCTCTGTGATCTCTCCTGCTCTGCCAGCTCTTTTGTTCAAGCTGCCACAGGAAGGTCAGATCCGCACTCTTCTGTACTCGTCGACCTCACACCACCATCACAAACTTTTTATTTCCCCAGTGCACGCCTTAGGATAACTAGAACCCCTTTGCACATATATATATATACACAGTTACACACTGCCTCAAAACTAAATGTATCTGCCTAAGATTTATTCAATGTGTTCCTTTTAAATCACTTCTATTAGGATTTAGATTTCCAGATAGTTTTTTAGTAAAGAGGCAAAATGTTATTTCTAAAGTCAGATTTTAGTAAACTGCCTAAGCAGGACATTCATACAATGTAATTTAAGGTTTGAAGTTTTATTTTAGTTGGACCTTTGTAATGTGCAATCTGATGATTATGATGAAGCCTTTGCAAAGGAAATAGTGACAAAAATAAACATTATAAAGCTTTGTAGAAAATATTCTTTACTTTTTGAAAAGATTTGGTTTATGGTGTCTTAATGTTTTGGATTAGATTAGGGCTGCAACTAACGATTATTTTGCATAAAATCTGTAGATTATTTTTTTGATTCATCGATTAATAATTCGACAGCCAAAGGTTCCTTGAAGAAGACCTTTTAATAGATTAAACCAGGTGAATCTGAAATTTTTCCTCTTGAGGAGTTCTGGATAGAGCATATTGAAATAAATTTTTGTTATCTTAAATGCAATTTTTTTTTAACGATCTTGGTATAATTATTACTGCTCTAATTGGGTTGCTCTTTCAGCTAAAGGCATGTTTTATAGTCTCTGTACTTCAGTTAAGGATTCATCGATTACTAAATTAGTTGATGATTTTTTTCAATATTCGATTGTTTCAGCCCTAGATCAGATGAGTTCTTGGACTTTTTGGTGATGTGCTGCTAGAGGTGCCACCTGTGGATGATTAATTTCCCATCTGGGAAACAAAGGTTTTATCTTTATGGCTGCTTTTGGAAATAATGGTCTTCCTGTTCTGAATCCAGGCATGGATTTGCTATTTGACTAGAAATGCAACTTGAAATGATTTTTCTAAGTTCTTGTTGCAAAATGATTAAATAAATTGCTCTTTAGCTAATCTCTGTCCTTACAATGTTTTTTTACTATCACAAAGCTTTTAAATAACCAGGATAAACAAAACACCCCCTTCCTAATGGTTGTCTCCCTCTTAACGGTAAATAGTTTTGTCTGTCTGTGCTGTCTGTAAACACAGTTTTCTTTGAGCCTGCCATCCCTCCTCTGTTTCCTCTTCACTAACCTCCTAACAATGTCTCTGTTCAGCTGCCCCCCCCGCTCCCGTTAGTCTGTCTGCAGCGATCTTCATCGCTGACTGTTGTCCTTACTCTTGCATCATGTTTTGTTCATGTTTTCCTCTTCATGACTGTGTGTTCCTTGTTTTTTCCTTCCCATAAGTATTATTTTCCTAGTTGACCTGTTGTTGTTGATATTAATTTACAACTTCTTTTCTTTCACAGTTGCCCTTTTTTATTTGTTTTCCTCCCCTTCCTTTATCGTTTACGATATCATTTGATTTTTGGGATAGTTGTTGCTCTGAGGATATTTATAAAAACAGATTCTCTGCCCGGCTGGATTTGGCTTCTTATTAAACAACTGCTGCCTTTGCAAAGACATAATTGGGTGAAGATAATGTTGTAAAAAACTGGAGTTTGGAGCTAAACAGTCCAACATCATAAAATATTATCTAAATCAGGGGTCTTCAACGTTTTCCAGGCCAAGGACCCCCAACCTGATGGATAGATGGAGCAGGGGACCCCCTAATTATATGTATGGTATGAAATTGTGTTATATAAAACTGGTCCTATAGTCACTCTATTACATATGGAGTAATGTAACGAAAGTAATTTCACTCTGGGATTATTAAAGTATTTCTGATTCTGATTCCTCGTTAATGGGACAGGTGTTGTGAATGAAACGGTGTTCAGCTTGAAAGAGCTCCTGTGTGTCGCTGAATGTGTGCTTTGATGACTGAAAGTCATCTTCTGCCTCCATTTATCTGTTTACTACAGTGTTAATGTGTATTTTAAGACATTTCAATTAGTGGAAAAAAATTGCAGCTGGGGATATATAAAAAAAAAAGTCTAATAAACCAAAACTTTCGCGAACCCCATACAGTACTTCTGTGGACCCCCTAGGGGTTGTGGACCCCCTGTTGAACACCTCCGGTCTAAATTACCATGGACTAATAGCATTATTTAGCTTTTACTCTTTAAATTAGCCCTAGGTACGGCATTTTCAAATTCAGTATGTTTGTTGACAGACGGGTGTTGAAGCTCAAAAGACAAAACTGAGTGTTTTTGCTTTAATCCTTTAAAGCCTGATCCAAGAATAAAACAAAACAGAAAATTACTTTTTTGATTTGAATTCCTTATTTGCCTTTTTAACAAAATATTTAAAAAGAAAAAACAGACATTTTTGATATTAATAATATATTACTATGCGATAAGTCAAGATTAATTTTTGTGCAGTCTTCTACTGGCTGTTATCAGGTATATCTGATAGTGTACAATAGGATTTTGAGCAACGTTTTTACCATTAAATTATGCAAAAGGTGTCAGACGCAAAACATTTCAGAAACCGTATGTATCAAATACGATACACTTGGCATTATAGGGTTAAAATATTACGCTTTTCTGTTATTTATAGTAAATCTTGATCTTTGTCATTCTCTTTAAGCCTAAGTAAGACTCAGTATGACTCTAGTCTCAGTTTTTCTTTTTTCTTCTTCTCTAATCATCTCTGTTTACATCGCTGAAACCAAAAATGGCTCACTTTGGGTCTTATATCCTCAGCAACAGTGAATAATGTTGGATATGGTAGCGCTTTGCATGGTGTCTTCACTGTTTAGTTTTGCAGCATCATAGTAGAGTTTATTTGAAACTATATTTCTAATAAATGGGGAAGTTATGGTAAAGATTGTTCAATCTAAGTTGAAAGCGGTAAATATTTTCTTTTTATTCATACTTCAAATATTACTGAAGTCATTAGCTATCAACATGAATCTTTGTTCAACTTATTTTCTAATCATTTTCATTTTTTTCAAGCATGCTTAGTGTGAGGGATTGCTTTTGACTTGATGAGTCGATGCAATCAACTGGTTTTCCTTTGATAGAAAACTTTGAATCCATTAGACTGTATGATCTGGTGTAAAGTGCCTTGAGATGACGTGTTGTATATAAATAAACTGAATTGAATTGAGTTGAATTTTCTGTTAGGGATTAAACTCACTACTGATAATATATTTGGTCTCTTATTCCCATTATTTATTTCTATTTGCTTACTCTACATTCTCCAATCTATTAATCAAGCAGATCCCATAACAATAAGAAAAACCCTCTTGATCCTGCGGCGGTTGCTGTTCTTCACTTTCTTTTGTCTCTGACTTTATCACAACGACAAAAAAGGAAACACACTTGTCTGTCTGAAGGCAAATGTCCTGTCTGATTGGGTAACTTAACATTTATGAGAGACTTTCATGGCACAGTCAGTCCCGTCTGTATGTTGAGCATGTGTAATCTGCCAGCAGTAACACATGAGTGACAGAAGTGAGAGACGAGCGTTTGCTACAGAGAGAATCCACGCTCCCTCCCCAGGTTTCAGGAAGGTTGTCACACCATTGTTATAGCGGTGACACTCTAATTCTGCTGCTGCACACTCAATCACTGAGAGTCTGTTTCATCTGTCTTTTTTCCTTCTCTTTCTCTATTTTTGTTTGTCTCCTGGCTGACTGAGTGAGTGAGTCGTTGGTTGTGTTGCGTCGTCTTTGACAGCAATCTGGGAACCAAGCTGTCACTCATGCAGCTCCTTGGTCCCACTGTCTTTCTGAAGTCAGTCTCCATTAATATAATAATGCTGTGTAGTCGACACCACTGAATATTTTACTGTAATGTTCCGTAGAACATTACCCCCACACTCAACGCCACACAGAAGAAAGTGGTACTGCCTGACGGAAACTTTTTATTTTGACTGAAAGGTCTTTGTGAGGTCTGTTTCATCTGTAGAAGTTTCTGTGTTTTTTTGTTGTGTTTTCTCTTTTGAGCTTTAGGAAAAGTGCTAGGCCCCTGTTTGATTAAGTGGCTGAGGGTATTCTTTTTCTTGTCAGGCATCTATTATTGACACTTTTCAGGAATAGGCCTAGGTATGCCGCACATTAATGTGCCTCATCGAGCTGCAGCCGTCATCTCAGGAAAAACCATGTTACCGTATTCAGGTTTGCTGGCTAAACAGTTTCCTGAAACTTCCTAATTGTTATTTTTTTCAAATTGTTATTATGGATAAAAAATATTCCTTTTTTAAATGAGAAGGAAAATTTTCTACTATCTAATTATTGACCTGAAAAACCCAACGTTCTCGGCAGGAAGCTTTATTCAGAACTATTGTCTAACTTGTTCTACAGGTGAGCAGGGTGCCGTCACCATGTTTCCTCTTTTTCTCCTGGATCACCACATGACAGCCAGGGAGCTCGGTTTCTGGAACGGCGTGGTCGCCATGGGCTTCTCCATCTGTGGGTCCTCTCTGGGAGGTCTTCTGCTCGCCCAGTTCAGGTAGGCTTCATCGGCAGGAAAAACATACTCTTGTATAGCATAATAATTATATCTTTAACAATATTTTGTGAAAGCTGTATTAAATACTGACTATAAAAATGTTTCTCCCACAATATTAAACTAGATATGTTTATACAATATAACAAAATAGTAACCTATTAGGTTACTGAATTAAACAGAAAGATGAAAAAAGTATTTGAAACATCTATTATTTCAAATATACAGCGATGTAAAACAGGATACGTCGCCGTTACATGTTCTATGCACAGGGGAACAGTCGATGCTGCTTCGTCACGCAGCACCTCTAAATGAGCGCTACGTAGGGGATAACCTAAAGTGTTTATGATTGTTTATATTTACAAACTAACCCCATAAATTGATTTCAGTATCCTTGATGACCTCCTGAGTCAGGCTCTGGAAAATCTGGAACATTGAGTAGGGGAGGAGAGGCTAAAGTGTGATTTACCCGCCACATGCAGCTTTTCTCTCCATTCCGTGCAGCTGAAGGGGACTTGATTGGTCTTATAAGGTTCTCCTTTTGAGGCAAACTCTTTAAAATCACCCCAAGCCAACTGATGGGTTCATTGGAATTACTGAAAGCTGACATTACTGCTTCCAAAAAGTTTAATTTATTAATACTCTTAATACGGTATATGAGACTCTGTTTTTGCATTTGTGGTTTGTTTTATTGTTCTTTTTTATATGGTTTTATTTGTTTTAATTTATTTTAACTTAACCTGATGTATCAATGTACAGCACTTTGTGGCAACTGTGATTGTTTTAAAGAGATTTATAAATAAAGTTGAGTTGAGAATACTACAAAAATGTCCACCAGAAGAGATGAGAAGTGATAGATCCAATAAAAAAGGAATAACATGCTTTCTTTCTTCAGATTGTTGTCTACTTTACCAGCATGACTAAATTAATTCATTTTGCAACTAATGATCGGTTAGAAGCAACCTTGTTATTTAAATATATTACATTTGTTAAGATTACAACACTTCAGTGAATTAAGAGTGACTTGGGGAGCGGTGGCCTAGTGGTTAGGGCATAGAACTTGGAATCCTGAGGTTCTGAGTTTGAGTCTGGGTCTCTGAGCAAAGACCCTTAAACCCACACTGCTCCCCGGGTGCCCCACGATGGCAGCCCACTACTCCCCAAGGGGATGGGTTAAATGCAGATGTAAGTTTCTCCAATGAGAGATCAATAAAGTTCAATTATTATTTGAAAAATCTCCTCTTTATTGCAACTCAAAGTATGGTTCTCCTCATTCACAACAGTCCACAAACTAAATTGACTGTAGAACATCAGCCAAAACAAACTAACATTTTATCCAATTTATTTAGGAGTTCGGCTCGTTTATCCGTTTACCAGTTACAGCTGAACGAGGCTCTGTCCTGGCAAAAGTCAGCTTCTAATTTCCTCATAATTTCACAGGACCGTTGGCGACAACCTTGCACTCTTTGCTCTTTTTCCCTTCCCAGCATGATTGGTTGTCCTAACCAGACGCTTTATTAGTTTTTATGAGTATATGACAAAGCTTTTTTCCCTTTTCTCATCATCAGATGTTAAAAGCAGGGAAATTTCAGGGGACATCTTTTAACAGGGACAGGTTGATCCAAAATGTGGGCTGTCTGTTCACCCTAACAATAATAGTGGTAAATCAAAGCTAAGTAGATTTCTCCAAAATGTTTGTTTAGTTCAGCAGTCATTTAACATAATCTAGGGCTCATTAATGAAAAGGCTGTAAAAAAGTTTTTTTTAGTCAAAGCTAGACGAGATGTCAGAGGAATTAAATGGTTAAGTTTTACGCTGCCATTCATGATTGTTTGTTTCTGATTGGAGAAGCAGTTAAGCATTGTGGATAACCAGGAAAACACTGAGTGGAGTTTTAGGCTTATAAGTATTCTGTCAATCTAGTGGAAGGGCCTCATTTGGGAAGTAATAGAAACAAAGGAAGTGTAAAATATTTTGAATGTGTCCAATGAACATAGCAAGCCTGTGACTACTCGATCCGTACCATCAGCTCATTTGCGCATGTGATTTTCATCCAGGTCACCATACATACTGTTATGTTACTAAAAGTAATTATTTCTGTCCCTAAATTGCCAAAGAATGCTATATAGAACTATATTTAAAAAAAAATATCTAATGAATTTCCTGAGACCGTTGCTTTTTACTTTTTCTCTATTAAACTTCTTGTCTGACGTCATCATCGGACGTAGTCAGAGTAGTCCAGCAAAATATGATTACACCGTGTTTATCTGCATTTTTAGTTTTATTTTCTGTAGATTATGCTCTATATAAAGCATGAGGTTAAAACAAAAGGCAAAATTAGAACTCAAAAAACTAGATTTATGTAAAAATCAAAAGCAGAAAATGTTACTTCCCGGAAGTAGTGTTTCCGGGAAACATCTGGCACAGACCAGTGATAAAAACAGAAGAGATTTAAAAGCATTTATTAACCTTTTACACATTGTAGTTTAGTATACTTACTATTTGTAAGGAGAGAAAAAAAAAACTTTGTTCTTTTTTATAAAGTAAATAGACTAGTCACAAAGCCTCTTCTCCTGCATTGCTTCTCTTTCAAACACGAGTGATAATCCCCTTAGAAAGGAACAGCAATTCTTTCTAAGTAGACATTATCAATTAATCTAATTGAATAAAATTGAATCTAATAAAACATTAATTGACAAATAATTGTAAGTCAATTATTTGTTTAGATCCTTGATATACATCCACAATTGAACTTGATCTGAACCTATTGTTTTTTTAACACTAACACTTTAGTAGCGTTCAGTATTTGTTCATTCTTAGGATGTAGTGATGACATCAAAGTTAAGGTACAGATGAAAACTAAGATTTCAGTAACTAAGCCTAAACGATTTTATGATATAGTATGTGTCTGCTGTTGTTATGTAAATTGTAATAATCATCGTTACTTTCTTTCTAGTCTTATTCATCATGCAGATTTTCCCTTTACCTTTTTCGCAGTTGCTTCACTTTCTGTGTACTAACGTGCATGCATGTGTATGACTGTGTTTTTGTTCCTTTCTGACTCTGGGTGTGTACGGTAATTTAAGTAAACATTGCCTTGTTTGAGAGCTCAGGGACCCCCTATGTGGCGTGTGGTGTGAGAACAGCATGAACAGAAAAACCTTTACACACACTAAGATGCACACATAAAAAAAATCACACACACCCCTCAGAGACAATATAGATGTAGCTGAATGCAGCTATCAGGTTTCCAAATGCTTATATCCTTCTAAGGCTGTAAAAGCATGGAAACCTCTTAATAGCCTCTATGCCTATTACCAACACCTGACTGTTTTAAAATGAAAATGAGGATTTATTTAAGCTTCCTATTAAACTAGACTTGAATCAGTTTGTTAAGCTTCATATATTAGCTTTTTTTCTTAAATGACTCAGGCCTGTCACACTGAGACTAGAGTTTATTTCTTATGACACATTAACCAACTTATGATTGTCTTACTATTATATGGATGCATTCCAAGTGAGTAAAACTTATATTGCCTTTTAGCAGAAATCCAATTCCATTTAGCTATAAAGTGCCAGCACACCATAGATGAAATAGACAGTGAACACATTCAGTTCAATCAGAATAAACAAAAACACTTTATTGCAGTGCAGTGTTTTAAACCTATAAGGAATTAGAGTTGCTGATAAAGTCCTGGACAATTGCAAACTTACAGTTGGGATAAACTGATCTGAAAGTATATAGTGCTAAGTAAACAAATGTCTGTTGGATAGATACCATCTAATTGTTAATACATTTCAATCAGGTGCTAAAAGATTGCACCAATAATGGTTTTTCTTTGGGATCAAGATCATCTGTATCTTGATGGACAAGCATTTGGATCCTCCAGCTCAATACCAGTGAGATTTTTGGGAGGTCTACCACTTCTTTCTTTTGTTTCACAACCTTCTTCATGCGTCTGAACTAGGGGTGTAAATCACACCCATCATAGAGATTCGATTCAGTATCGATTTCCTGACCCAACGATTCGATTATTTTCGATAATCAAGAATACACCACGATACAATTAGATTCGATTAATTGGTTCTTTTTTTTTTTAACAGAAGTAGAGAAGTTGTACTCCACCTATTCCTATTAAAACCTCATTCACTGAAAAATAGTAATACCCCTGCGTTATAGATTCTGCAAGGCCTTGCATCAAAAAATACTGCACAAAATCAGTGCAATGAGTGCAATGAAATACCTCGGCTCCAGACGTCCCCGCCCCCTCCACAGACGCTCCGCTGCACCTCTCCCAAATTGTAGCTCACCGCAAACAGTGCCGCAGACAGGAGGCAGGCTTGTTTTGTTTTCATGACCAAAATTGCAGAAAACAACTGGTGAAGTTTGACCCGCTAGAAGAGCGAGGTGCGCGAGAACGCTGGGACCCTTTTTCCACCTGGATCTCCCCCACTTCCTCACTGCCTCGGCCGTATCTAGACCCAGAGCGTGTAGCACAGACCTCGCTTCAATACTGAGCATAAATAAAAAAAGTCTATGTCAAGCTTACCGCAACAAACTGCTGTAAGAGTATAACCAGGAAGAAAGGTGGGAGGGTAAAATAGGTTTAGCGCCACCGCTACGTCCAGGAGCAATTGGATAAAAATTGGCCGCAGAAAAAAAATACATGAATCGATACTCTTGCGGATGTATCGATGCATCGGATCGTCGGCTGTTGGATCGATGCATCGATACAAAACGATTATTATTTATACCCCTAGTCTTAACAATCCTACCACGTTTAAAGGCTTTTTGCATTTGCCATCAAGAGATCTTCACAGTGCAATTACTGAGTTGGAATTCATTTTTTTGCATGTTTTTTTTGCTTTAAATGGCTGCAGTCTAAACTTTTGATCAGCTGGTTAAAAAGTCAACTTGAGTTTATTTGTTGTTCTCAATACTTGAGTTTATTTGTTGTTCTGATTACAACTTTTGGCCTCTTATTCCAATTTTTTCTTTTTTT